AGGCTGGAGCGGGGCGGGCGAGGGCCGGGCCTGTAGCCCAGGGTGGGGGCCTGCGCGAGGCGGCTCCCTATCTGAAATGCGAGGACGAGGGAGACACTTACGTTCTGGCCTCCAAACAGTACCCCGGGCAAGCTCCAAGCCTCCTCCAGGACGACAGCCCACAGGGGAATGAGGGACACTCAGGAGCCCCCTGGCCTTGGCCCCGAAGCCTGCCCTTTGAGGGGGTGAGGCCTCCCTGTATGGCAGATGCTTGAATCTCTCGGGTCCCTGGGAGGAGCAGTCGTTATGGGGTGAAGAGGGCCCAGGCTTGAGTTGGCCTCTCCTGCGCCCTGCCCTGAGGTCCTGGGGCCGGAGCAGCCAGGCTGACCCTAGCTGAGCCAGGGCTGGGGACGCGGAGAGCCAGCCCATCTGCCAGCTCCCTCGGCCATCTGTCCACATCCCTGACCACCCTGGGCTGTGGCCTCCACGAGGCTTGCTCCATCCTCACCTCTGAGCAAGGCCGTCCCTGCCACCGTGGGTGAGGCTAGTCCTGTCACCGGCTGCCACCTACCACCTGGCTTCTCCACAGCAGGGAGCCAGGGCTGCCAGGCTTGCTGTGTTTCCTGCCTTTGGCCTCCCTCCCTGGGGCACACACCCCTCGAAAGAGCAGGCCCTCAGCACAGTAGCCCTAGCCCGGCCCTGGAGACTCTGGACTCCACTTTTGGCCAGAAGAGAGAGCGAGCGACATCCGGGACGCTTTGTTAGGCCCCTTCTAGAGTCCCCCGCGGCCCCTCGGCTACGCCTTTGCCTGGACGGAGGGTGTTTTGACAAAAGTGCCTATAAGAGAGCAGTTCCTGGGCCCGTGAGATCCCCATGGGCTCCTCAGGCCTCCATTCCCCCGGAACCCGGGGAAAGTCCTTGAGGGTCAGCGTCCAGAACACCTGAACCCACCCCCAGCTTCGGCTTAGTTTCCTTATCATCATCTCTGGGGATGTTTTCTCCTGCTCTGGCCGCCAGGACGCTCAGGGCCAAATTCTTCTGTCACCACCGGGTTTCCCAGGACCAGGCGCGTCTCAGCACTGCTCTTTCCTTCATCCTTCTGTACGTCAGTCACCCAAGTACCAGCCCCGGGCCCCTGTGTGCCTGGCGGTGGAGGGAGAGTCAACAGTGAGCCAGACACAGAATCCAGGCTTTCCCGCTTCTGTCAAGGAGAGACCATGAAACAGCCCAAGTCTGGGGGTGACAGATGCTGTGGCTGGGGGGGGGGTGCACTTTTAAGGGGGGCAAGGGTCAGAGAAAGCCTCACAGAGTGGCAGACATTAAAACCAGGACCTGGAGTTGGTGAGGGATGAGGACAGGAGGGAGGGGAAGAAAGTTCCAGGGAGAGGAGCAGCACCAGGCAGGGGCCCATGGAGGAAGGGCCTGGGGTGTCTGAGAAACAGGGGGGACACCAGTTGGGGGGACGCCAGAGGGGTAACGAGAGCCCCCAGTCCCCAGGGCAGGGCAGGCTAGGGCCTGGTGGAGCACTGCAGGGTCTGGAGACGAGGACGGAGAGTTCGGATGGAAATTCAACAGCGTCCCTGAGTGCGGGATGCGGAGCCGGGCGGCTGCGGCAGTGGAGATGGGGAAGGAGGGTGATTGCTGCTCTGTGGAGGCAGAAGCAACAGGATTTGCTCAGGGTTCACGCGGGTGAGAGAGAGGAAGAGGCGTCGGGGGTGACTCCTGGGTTTGGGCCTGAGCAACGGGCAGGATGGCGAAGTCCTGTTGTGAGGTGGGAGCAGGTGGTCAGGGCGGCCGGGGCAGCCGTGACCAGGGGCTCCATTTTGTCTCCGTTTGAGTGTGTGAGCGGAGGTGAGGGGCAGGCGGGTGGACAGAGGGACCCGGTGAGGGCCTGGGGGGCCGGGAGAGGCCTCTGCTCAAAGCCATGGGATCACATGAGGTCACCAGGCCTGGCCCTGAGGCCCCAACACCAGCGGGGAGAAGAGGAAGGGGAGAAGAATGCAAGTGTGGGCTCCTGGCAGGCGGGTGGCAAGTGCTCTGGGCGAGGAGGGCGTGGTCAGCCCCGCAGGCTGAGGACGGAGGTTTGCCACCTGCGACCTGGAGCCTGGAGGCCACCGGTGACCCTGTGAAGCAGTTTGGTTGAGGGGGACAAACGCCTGCCAGGAGCAGCAAACAGGAGGGGAAGGGGCCCCAGAAAAGATTTAAGATGTGAAAAAAACTTAATGGTTTTTAACATTTTGATTTCATTCATCTTTGATTTATTCATGTTTTATTTATCTTTGGACATGCAGTACAGTCAGTGCGGGAGGGTGAGAGAATTCACCAGAGCCAGAGCGGGGAGCGCAGAAGGACCCAAGTACACTGCTGAGGGGAGCAGCGGGCGGCAGGAGAGGTCTGCGCGCCATGTGGGACCCTCCTCCGGTGGCCAGGGAGTAGCCAGGGATCGAACCGGCACAGCAGAGGCCGCGGGCAGCTTCGCAACCCAGCGCTCAACCACTGCGCCACTGTGGAGGCCCAGTTTTTGATTTCATTCATCTTTGGACAAGTACACTAGTCGCAAGCCTCCAAGCATCAGCCCTCAGGGCTTTGCTAACAAGTTCTGCCACTGGTCTCCCCTCCCTCTTCACCCGGCAGACACCCAGTGCCCCGAGGCTTGTGCCCCCTCCCAGAGCTATTTTATGCATAAACTGGCACAGGCTGTGCCCACGCAGTGGCAGTGTTTTCTCTTTTTTACACTAATGGGGACGTCCTGCATGCGCGCATTCTGCACCTCGTCTTATCCATGTGTCCCCAACACCATTCCATAAGCAGTGCAGTGTTCTCGTGCCTTTTTAATGATGCCGTGGGGCCTCCCTGGTGGCGCAAGGGGTTAAGACGCAACCTTTGAAGCGGTCCGCAGCCACTGCAGCATGAGTTCAATCCCCGGCCAGGGAGAAACCCACATGGCGCAGCAGACCTCTCCTGTCTCGCCCGCTCCTCCCCTCAGCAGTGTATTTCAGTCAGTCCTCCTGTTCTGCTCCCTGCTCTGTCTCTGGTGAGTCCTCTCGCCCCCCACACCTCTGGCCTGCACCCCAGCTCTTGTATGCATAAATAAATAAATCTTTAATGACGTCATGTCATCCCACTGTATGGCACGCCGTATACATGTAATTTCTCTTATCCATCCCTCCACTGATGGACAGTCCTGGCGGCTCCATTTTAACCTCCATTTTCCAGCGAGGCGCCCTGGCCGGCGGTGCAGCCAGTGTGCTCCCGCGCGGGAGCTTGTCCTTCATACCCGCTCCACAGCCGCCTCTGGCCCTCATTAGTTTCCAACCCTCGTTCCCCCTCACTGCTACCCTCTTAGCCATCGTTCTGCAAGCCTTTGTCTATTCAAATGACACACATTCACAAGCCCTGACCATGCGCCAGGTGGGGTCGGACCACAGCATGTGGAGAGAGGGACCGAGCCCTCTGCTGTCACAGACTCGCAGACCAAGTGCCCTGTGTGCTTTTGCGAGTCACCCCAAATTGTCCATGGAAAGACGTGGAGAGTGAATAAAAAGGCCTGGTCCCTGCTTTCACCAGTGAGTGAACCAAACGTGCCAACAAATCCCTGCAGGCTGAATACTGTGCAGGGGGCCTGGGAACCCGGAACACTAACCCTGCAGAGCTGCCCCCCCCTCCACCTCCCCCTGCCCCCAGCCTGGCCTTCCTCCAGTTTCCCCTCTCAGGCAAGGCCTACCACCCGACCCAGCCGCTGCCCAGTGCCTTCAGGCTTGCATCTGCCCACTTCCGTCCCCAGGTGGTCCACCCTGGGGCTGAGCCCACCCTTTCCACCCCTGAAGACAGCTGGCTTCCGCCCAGATTGGCTCAACAGGGCTACCAGCCTTGCTCAGCCATCTCTTACAGGAGCCACCCAGTAAGGTCCTCCTGGTCTCCACCCACCTGGTCCCACCCACTGATGTGTCACGGTGTCCTTCCTCAGCTCTAACCTCCTGAGCCTTCCTGGGGAGGTGACAGCCCATGGTTAGTTAGGCTGGTGGCTCTGCTGCCTGAATCCCGGCTGGCCCACCTGTTAGCTACATGACCTTGAGTGCCCTACTTAACCTCTCTGCCTTAGATGAGGAAAATGAATAATAAACGATAATATGATAAATGATACCTAAAATAGCTATTGTGAGAATATTAAGTAAATTATAATGAGAAGGCCCTTGTGGCCTGGCCCTGCCCAAGTCTCCAATCTCACCAGTTCTCATCTCCTTTATAGATGAACTGAAAAGGGCCTCCCCTGCTGGCTGGCGCAGCGGCTGAGCGCTGGGCTGCGAGGCTGCCGCAGCCTCTGCAGCGCCGGTTCGTTCCCCGGCGAGGGTTCCACACACACACAAAAATAAATAAGTAAATCAACTGAAGTACTTTCGATTCCTCGAAAGCATCACATCTGCTCTCCCCCGGCTTCTGCAGCCCCTTCTGAGATGAAGTTGGGTCAGGGCACCCAAATTTTCCCCACTGGAAAGACGTTTGAGAGGCAGGGCGGCCGCAGTCAGACGCGCAGCTCTGAAGTGTGAGGCCGACGAGCCCGGCAGCCGCCCGCCCCTGCGGCGCCACCTCCCGAGGGCCGCGGAACGTCCTGCCCCCGGGCCGGCCCCGCCTCTCCAGACGGCCGCCCGCTTCCGGGGTGCTGCGGGGTGCTGCGGGGTGCTGCGGGGTGTACGCGCCCCGTGCCGCGCGCGGAGAGGCTCACTCTGGCCGCGGCGCAGAGACGGCTCGACACGGGCCAGGAGAGCGGAGGGCGGAGGCCGGAGGGCGGAGGCCGGAGGCCGGAGGCCGGAGGGCGGGAGCGCGGCGCCGGTCAGACCCGCGACCCCGCGCCATTACGGCCCCGCGGTCGCCTGGCAACCAGAAAGCGCTTTCGGCGCGTGGGCGGCTCCCGGGGGAGCGGTAGTGGGAGGCCCCGCCCCGAGCCCGCCCCGGCCCCGCCCCTCCGCAGCGGCGTTGGCCCCGCCCACGCCGCCCGCAGAGGCTCCTCATTGGTGGTCTCCCCGGAAGCGACCGGATGCGGCCTCTCGCCCCAGGTCCTGCCGCCGCCGCGGGCGGGTTCGTGGCGCGGGCGCGGGCGCGGGGCGCGTGGCGCGCGGTCGGTCGGTGGGTCGGGCGGGGCCGCGCATCCCTGGCCTGGCCCGGGAGCCCCGCGCCCCAGCCTCGGTTTCCCCCTTCGCGGTGGCGGCGCACGCCCCACGCGGGCACCCGGGCCCTCCGCGCAGCCCCACTGCCGGCCGCGGCGCGTGACGGGCCCGTCCGCCCCCAGGGCCCCAGCGCGGCCGGGATGTTCGTCCTGGTGGAGATGGTGGACACCGTGCGGATCCCGCCCTGGCAGTTCGAGAGGAAGCTCAATGACTCCATTGCCGAGGAGCTGAACAAGAAGCTGGCCAACAAGGTACCGCGCCCGGGGTGGCAGGACTTGGGGTAACCAGCCGTGGCACCCGAGGGCCCCGCACTGCCCACCGGCCGCTGCAGGCCTGGCGGGGCTTAACGCCTCAGAACTGTTTCTCCGCAGGTGTGTGTGGGGACTGCTTTCCAGGGTGTCGGGGGAAATCAAAAGAGAAACTGGGTTTCTCTTGTACCTGGCAAGCGCTAGACTCTGCACCTCCAAATGCCCTGGCAATCTCGGGCAGACCATGTACCCCTCTGGGCCTCAGTTTCAATTTGTAAAATGAAGGTGATCTTCACTGCCCTTCCAGCCCTGCGCTCGCAGGCTCTGCGAGACGCGCAGTACTGGTCGTGGAGAGCTAAGGTCGGAGGCTTATCCCTCAATCTCTGCAAAAATATTTGTGCCAGGTCTGTGCCTTGGTGCCAGCTGGTCAGAGTCCTTCTCAGTTATCCTGTGTCATCTCTCTTTTCTTCTTAGCATGTACCGCAGGTTCTTTTCTTTTTTCTTCTCTTTGGTTATTTGGTTAGTTTTCCTCTTTCCCTCTCCACGTCTTGCCTGAAGTGTGCTCCACATCTAGCCAGAGCCTAGCACAGAGTAGATGTTCCAGAATTGTCTGCTGATTGAATAAGATAGGCAAGATCTTTCCTGTGGTGTGGTGGGGAAAGCCGCTGTCAGTGAGAGGGTGTGATGACAGGTTGAGATAAATTCTAGGAAGGACGGGCATTTACAAGGCTGTGGAACAAAGGAAAGAATGAGGGAGACGAATGGCTTTGTGAGGGCGAGAGGGTGCTGAAGCTGAGATCTGATGGTAAAGAGGAACTAACCACAGCATTCATTTTCAGGGTGAGAGAGGGCTGTGCAGAGGAAACAGATATGCAAAGGCCCTGTGGCAGGCGGGAATATTGCACCTGTCATTGCACAGAGGAGGCCCATGTGGCCTGGACAGGCTGGAAAGGGGGCAGGAACAAGACCACAGAGCCTGCAGGACTATGGGATATTGGTCTCATTCACTGGACAAAAGGAGCCAGAAAGAGGAAGATTGGCTGGCTTTAGAGAGGAGAAAAGTCCTTTCCGTAGAGGCTGAGGTCACAGAAGGGACTGGGGGTGTAGAGATCTGGGGTTTTTCTGGGGTTTCTTTTCTGAGAGTTTTTCTTCATAAACTTTACCAATTTGCCAGTAGTTTATTATCTCCTTTATTTAACAACCCGATAGTTGGTATTTCCATCTTTGCAGATGGGGAAAGTAAGGCTCAGAGAAGTGATCTCAGAGGTCACTCAGTGGTGGCGCTGGCGTTGTAACCTGGATCTGTCTGGTCACCAAAGACCTTGTTCTTTCCAGGGGTTCCTTACCCATGATTCCCTCGGGCAGCATCCCAGCTCATTTCCAGCTGTAAAACGGGCTCATCAGACCTGCCCTGTGGGGTGAGGGTGTCTGGGGGCCGGCTTCAGGGTCGCTGCGAGTGTTCATGATGCATACAGGTCGTTTACAGCGTGGGGCTCTGCATCTGCCTGTTTGACATCACCAAGCTGGAGGATGCCTATGTGTTTCCAGGGGATGGCGCATCACACACCAAAGGTGGGTGCCCCTCTTCTGGGGCATTGAGTTTCTTGGTGCTCAGGTTTCGGTGGTGGGAGTCCTGACTGGGGGGTGAGGGGCCCTGGGGTCTAGACCTGACTCTGCCAGGAATTGACTGGGTGACGATGGGCAGAATCTTTCCTCTCTTGGCCTCAGTTTCCTCATCTGTGAGGTGGACAAAGTGACCCTCCAGGCCTCTCTGAGCCTCATCTGGTCTGCTCTGCTACCAAGCTCTGCGCTTGCTCTCAGGCTGCGGGGTCCGGGGGAGGTCAGAGGGGCAGAAACCCTGCGTGTGGTCACGCCTGGGTTAAAAGTGTGGGGAGCAGAGGAGAGCTGTCCCTGCTCCGGAGGCTGGAGGGGCTGGGGGACCTGCCGGCACCGTGGGACATAACGGTTAACAGTTGGTCCTGGGTTCAGATCCCAACTCTGCCACTTACTGGCCGCACGCCCTGAGCGGAACAGGTCACCCCTTTGGGCCTGCTTCCTCACCTCTGAGATGCAGGTAACAGTGCGTTGATCTCAGGGCCGCAGTGAGTAGAGCTGAGTAGACTTGGGCCGAGCTCTCAGGACCGGGCCTTGGCCCAGGGCTGGTGCTGGACGGCTCGCGGCTCGAAACTTTCTCCCGGCCCTGTGGGTCAGCCAGGTGGGCCAGGGCCGGGTGGCACCTGACGGTGGCCGTCCGCTTGCCGGGAGGGGCCGGCCTGTGGTCATCTCCGCCCGGGCGGCCGCACCTCCACCCGCGAGTCCAGGAGCCCACGCGCGGCCACCCAGTGCGCAGGCGCAGCGATGCTCTGCACTCGGCCTGTTGGCGCCGCAGCTCGCGGGAGGGGGACGGAGATTCTGCCGCGTGCTGGAGCCGCAGTCGCGATGCACCCCACTGAGAAAGGGTCACCACCCAGAAGGCGGGAGGGCGGAGGGGATTCCCTTGAGAAGAGCCCTGGCGGCCATGGCCGCCCCGGGCTCCCCAGGCGGGTGACTTGAGCCTCTCTGCCCGCCCGGGCCTGCGGACGCCAGCCTCTGGGGTCCCCACATACTGTTGGAACATCAGGCCACGTTTGAGGTGCCCTCCTAGCTCTCACGGGCAGCCTCGCACAGAGATGTCTGGGTGCTCCAGAAGCGCCAGGGGGCCGCCGGGTCGGCCTCTCGGATACCAGTGAGTTCTCACAGACGTGTCCCCAAGAAACGGGTCTCTAGGAACTTGGCTCCCCCAGGGGCTCATACAGGTGAGGTCAGAGTATTTGTCCTTTGCAGATGCCCACGACCTCCCGCGTCCACCCTGCTTCGCGGGGTCAACGGGCCAAGCCGCCGCTCAGAACAGGCCTCGTGGGTCAGTGTTTGCCCCCAGGGTCCCACCTCAGGCTAAACAACCCTGGGACTGCAGGTGGGGTTTTGGGACGGTGACCCCACTACAGCCCTGTCCTGGCTGGCGAACCAGCAGCTGCTCCGGGCCCTCCTTCTTGTTTTTCAAGTGAGCTGTCATCCTCGTGCCGCTCCCTTCACCGCCCCCGCCGACGGCCGAGCGTTTCCACCCCGAGCCTCATTCTCCGCTCCTCCCTGTCCCCTTCGCCCAGTGCCTCCAGACTTCCCTCGAGCAACGTCTCCAGACGTTTCACAGAGTAGAACACGCGGTCGCCTTCTGTGACTGGCCTGTTTTGCTTGGTCTGGGGTTTCAGAGTCCGTCCTTGCTCCACCCATCAGCCCCTTGTCCGCGAGGCTGACCTTCCAGGTCGAGCGCCCTCGCTTCCCCACCTGCCTGCTGAACGGCCCTTGGCTGCCCACCCTGGCTTCTGGCTGTGGTGGTTCCAGACCGGCGCTCCCGGGCACAGGCCCCGTGTTGTCCTGTGGGGCCTGTAAACCAGTGCCCACACTGGGCACAGACCCGGCAGAGGCCCCGTGGGCTTAGGTCATATGGGGGCAGGATTTTTCCGTCCTGTGCGTCAGCGGCCCCTGGCTGCCCTCATGTGCCCCCTGCAAGGTCCTCACGAGGCTGTGCCTCTCCGTGTGGTCCAGAGGGCCAGGAGGGCCAGCTGCCCCCTCTTCCCCACACTTCTTGCCCATGGGGCCACGGGAAGCAGCCTGGCACCTCCCTGTGGGGTGGGGGAGCCCTGCTGTCGTCGGTCGGTGCTGGCTGACTGGCAGCCGAGGGCGCTGCTGGCTGAAGCCTGTGCTCAGACTAAATTGTCCAAGACAGGTCATTCCAGCCGGGACCCCATGTGGCGCTCCAGGAAGATTTGGGTCCCCCGGGACCGACAGCTGTGTGCTGCGAGCAGGGTGACCGGCCCCTCTGGGGAAGCGAGACCGCTGCCCCGGGCAGCGCGGCCGGGCAGGCGGTGGAGGTTGCGCCATCTGGGCTTTGAGCGAGGCGGGAGGGACAGGCGGTGGCTGCCAGCCCTGGGTCAGCCCACATGGGCACAGAGCTCACTTCCCTGGGGTTGGGGGAGCGGGGATCCCCTCGGGCTGGTCCCGCGAACCCACAGGCTTTTTGCTGGGTTATCACTGTGTCCCCTGCCCCCATTCCGGGCATTTTTAGCTGCTGTTCCAGGTCACAGCGCCGCCTGGAGCAGACTGCAGCGGGCAGGGGAGACAGGGACTGTTTTCAGACCCGGTTCCCTTGCCAGTTGCTTCTGCCCTGTTTAGAATTGAAAGGAGAGCGCCCAGAGGAAGGTTGGAACTGACTTTGGTGTCATGGATGGCCCAGAAATTGGGCTCGCGGGTGGCTCAGCTGACGGGCTTGGGAGCCAGCCCTCAGTTCCACTCCCGCTGGCCTCTTCTGGGGGCCAGGCTGCGGACGGGGTCACATGAAGGGCTGGTGGGGTCGTCTGGCTCAGCTGCCAGGTCTGGGCCCACAGGGCTGGCGTGGGGGCTGGCAGCGTCCTGGAGTGGCGGGGGCGGGCGAGCGAGGGTCAACCCCGGATCGCGGCCCCGGTCAGGGCAGCCATTCCGCACGGGCCTGCTCCTGAGCTCGCGCTCTCCTCCTGCAGTCCACTTCCGCTACGTGGTCTTCCATCCCTTCCTGGACGAGATTCTGATCGGCAAGATTAAAGGCTGCAGCCCGGAGGGAGTGCACGGTAGGCGGCCTCGACGCCTCAGGCCTGTACCTGGGTGGTCGCTGGGGGCAAGCGTCCAGGCCGGCCGGCGGTCAGGGGAGGGGTCAGAGAGAAGCCCCTTGTTCATGGAGCAGCACGGCCCTCAGCCGGCTGTGGGGTCCCCCCACAGCCCCCGCCCGTGATTTAGGACTCCAGGGTGGTCCTGGGCAGGCGCAGGGTGCCAGGCCACTGGTCCCTGTCACGCAGGTGCCAGGCGTGCCTCGGGTTTTGGTGGCTGTTCCGGCGCTGTCAGTGGCCTTGGCAGAGACGTGTGCCCAGGTGGGAGGGGGCCCAGGTTCCCAGGGGAGCACCTGCCCACGGGCAGTGCCGACCCCTGGGTGTTTGACCATCTGCCCTCAGCTCAGTCCCGTGCTGTCCCTTCTTCGTTCCTCCCAGTCTCTCTAGGGTTCTTCGACGACATTCTCATCCCCCCGGAGTCCCTGCAGCAGCCGGCCAAGTTGTATCCTCCCATGGTCTCAGAGCAGCACAGGCCTCTCCGGATGAAGTCCCCCTTTCTGGGGTAGCCCCTGGGTCCCACATCCGACGCCACTGGCTCTGTGCCTGCCCCTCTGGCCCGCAGCTCTGCTCTCCAGGTGTTGACTGCGGTGCTGCCCACACTGACCACGGTGTCCACGTCCAGTGTGCTCGCGGGGCTGCCGGGCCAGCTTGTGTCCACTTCCGGCTCACCTCACTCCTGAGGGCCGCCCGTCAGGACTCATCTCAAAGATCACTCCTCTCGAGAGGTTCCCCCTGGTGTGCCGTTGCAAGGGGCCAGGTGGTCCTGTCGCAGCCCTCACCCTGCTGCCCTGGGCTTGTCTGTCCTTGGTTCTCGCTGAGTGGGCTCCCTGGAAGGGACCCCATCCGCGTGCACTGTACCCTGCAGCCCAGCACAGAGGCCAGGCAGGGCCACTAGGGGGCAGTGTGGCTCCTCAGGGCCTGGTCTGGAGGGAGCCCTAGCCCACAGCTCACTGGGTCTGTGTGATTCCAGAACGCGTCAGAAAACCTGACTCAGCCCCGCCAGGCCTCCTGTGCTTGGGCCCTCAGGCAGGTGGCCTCCCGCCCGCCCGCCCGCCCGCCGGCTCTTCTTGGAAACTAGGAGAGTCCTGCACTGTCCGCTTGTCGAGTGTGACTGGGGGCCAGCGCCGGGCAGAGGACAGACGGCCTCAGCCAACGCTGAGGGCCCACGTGAGGGCTCGGGGGCACTTTGTGGCTGTGATGTCATCACCTGCCCACACAGTGCAGCCAGGAAAGGCCTTGCCACAGTCCCCGCCTGCAGATCGGGACCCTGAGCCACCGAGAGTTTGGGTCTGGCCACAGGTCACAGCCGGTGGGTGGTGAACTCAGCAGTTGGCCTCTGAGGACACACAGGCTGAGCAGACCTCACAGGGAGGGTCCCCAGGAAGCAAGAGGACGTGGTCATTGCTGCCTTGAGGGGACTCGTGCTCCATTTTGGAGCCTCCTGGTATCCTGAGGGTGCGGGTACATGTCTGGCTGGGGTCCTGGTGCCCAGGCCTGGCCCTGCCTGGCCTCTTGCTCCTGACCTGGGCCTGCTTTTCCTGTGACTTCCCAGCCCAAGTGATCTCAGCCTGGGTTGGTTGTTCCTGGGGGTGGGTTCTGTGGGAGGGTGGCCCTGCCCCCCAGGGCCCCCCATGCCTGGTTGTTGCCTTGACCCTGGCCCTGCAGCGACGAGGCGGAGCAGGTGTGGGTGTGGGAGTACGAGACGGAGGAGGGCGCGCACGACCTGTACATGGACACTGGTGAGGAGATCCGCTTCCGGGTGGTGGACGAGAGCTTTGTGGACACGTCCCCCACTGGGCCCAGCTCGGCCGAGGCCGCCTCCTCCAGTGACGAGCCGCCAAAGAAGGAGGCTCCGTACACGCTCGTGGTAAGATGTCCGATGCCAACGCGGAAACCCCAGGACCTGCGTCATGGGCGCAGCAGCGCTGAAGGGGTGGGGGCGTGGCCTTGCTGTTCTGTCCAGCAAGCCGGGGTCCAGGTTTTCCTGGGGAGCCTCAGCCTGTGTTCCGGAGGGCGGGAGAGTCAGCCCAGCCTGCAGACAGAGCCAGAGCTGGACAGGGCACTCGCTGCCGGGGGCTCTAAGGGAGAAAGACGTAGGCGGGGCCCAGGGACTGGTCAAAGCCTGCAGCAGCCAGGTCTTTGGGGGCAGCGAGGCCTCCCCCACACCACACCAGATGGGTAGAAACCCACACTTGGGTTTGTTCATGGTTTCACCCGCATGGAGCCAGTGACCCAGGGCAAAAGTGGGGCTTCAGGGGCCTGCCAGTGGAGGCTGTGGGTACAACACAGGTCCTGGGGGGCTTACTTTGTCCAAACAGGCGGCTCAGGGCATCCCTTCCTCATGTCCTCGGAGCTGGGGTGGCTTAGGAGGGCGGGCCTGGCCCGGCATTGACCCTGCGGGGGCCGAGGCCACGCCCTGGGCACATCAGCGCTTCCTTTGCTCTGGAGAGGCCGGGGTGGGAGAGGGGAGTCCCGGGCTCACCCAGCTGGGAACACGGGTGTGGCTCCCAGACTTCCCTAAATCCTCTTGGCTGTGGTGGGCGCCCCCACCCTCTAGGCTATGCCAGCCCTGCTGGGTGCCCAGAAGGGCCCCCTTTGAACTGTGTCCTAGCTGGCGCAGGCCCCGGGGCATGAAATGTGCCTGTTCTCCCTTGGCAGGGGTCCATCAGCGAGCCGGGGCTGGGCCTCCTCTCCTGGTGGACCAGCAGCTAGCCCTGCTGGACATCGGCCCGGCCCGCGGCTGCCTCCGGCGACAGCGAGAGCAACTGTCACGGCTGCAGACACCGAGAGGAGCCGAGCGCCGCAGGGAGCTGGGGGTGGGGGGTGCCCAGGAGAGGCCCCGGCTTGTTGCCACCCTGGGCCTGCATCCTCTGCACTTGCGACTCGGCGACAGCGGACACGTAATAAACGGCAGCATCCGCTGGGAGGAGCCACCTGGTCTGGACCGCCATTGTCGTGATCTGAGGTCACCGAGTGGCCACAGCTCGTCTTTTCTCACCCCACATCACTTGTGGAGATGACACCCCCCCCAACTGGCAGGATTGGGGGTCAAGAGATCTGGGCTTCGAGGCTGGGCTCTGGGCTGGCCGAGCTTGGTGGCACCATCGTGAGGCCGGTGCCGTGGGCCCTGCGAGCAGCCAGCTAGAGTCTGACCTTGAAGGAACCATCACCTTCCTTCCTGGGTGCAAGTGGGGTACAGGGGCAGGGGAGCAGGACCAGGTGGCTGGCCTGAGCCAGACCAGCTCCACCCTCAGAGAAGTAGAGGCTTTGCCGGTTGCAGGTGAGGGCTGGTGCCAGCTGCGACCTTGGGCAGGGCACCCGTCCCTACCCTGAAGGTTCTGGAGGCTAACTCAATCCCTGGGGGACGGCCTGGCCCCCGGGGAAGCAACCCAACCATGGGGGTGGGCAGGGAGGACCCGGAGTGTCCAGAGGTGTGGTCGCCCCCTCCGCCAGACACGCCCCGAGCCCCGGGCCGAGGACAGCGCAGACACAACTCACAACGTTCAACTGGTTTGGGGTCTTATTTTCCTGGAAGAGCAAAGGTTCTCTAAAATCCTTCAGCCACAAGTGAAATGATCAGACAGGAGGAAACTTTGGATGGGAGTCTCGTCATCAAAAATAAATAGTGGCGTGGCGCTGCCCGCGATCCGAGCCGACTAGGACGACGGCGGGGCCCGCGACATTCTTGTAAGAGCCCCCGACCGCGGGTCACTTCGTGGGCTGAGGGGAGGGAGTGCAGAAGGCCCGGCCGCGCGTCTCAGAGCAGGGAGCCACGGGGAGCCGGGTCCGAGGAGCGGGGCGGGCAGGCGGCGGCGGCCTCACTGCTGCAGCTCCTTCATTCTGTTGAGCGCGCTGCCGGCGCGGAACCACTCGATCTGGGTCTCGTTGAAGGTGTGGTTCAGGAGGATGCTCTCCTGGGTCCCGTTGGGGTGCTTGATGACACAGGTCAGGGGCTGCAGGGAGGAGGCAGGTGTGAGCGGGATGGCGGGGCGGGGGGCGGGGGGCAGGGCACCGCTCGGGACCTGAGTGCCAAGCCGGGGTCGGTGAGTTGAGAGCAAGGCGGCCTGACCCGGCTGCGCCCTCATCTCTGGAAAGACCCTTCCTTCCTCTCTGGGGGGACACAGGCTACAGCTGAAGCAAGGCTCATGGGCGGAGCTGCAGGCGAGACAGCTGTTAAGAGGGGAAGCAAGGTGGCTGCCCGCTACCCTCCCCTCAGGAGAGCTGGGGAACACAGGGCGTTGGGCCTCCCCCCTTCCCTGGCCCCCCGACCTTGCCAGGAGCGAAGTCCTTCAGGCCCTGGATGGTCAGCTTGTCCACAGGGTGAATCTTGTTGTAGTCGGCTGGGTCAGCAAAGGTGAGGGGCAGCAGGCCCTGCTTCTTCAGGTTGGTTTCTGGAAGGTAGAGGGGCACTCAGTCCACAGGGCGAAGGCCCAGTCTCCCCATCTCTGCATGGTCCTCACAAGCCCACAGTGCTTCCTCTTGGAAATCCAGCTGGGGCCACCCCTAGTCCTTCCTCCTGGGGACAATCCTGGGGCAGTGAACACCAGGCCAGGTCGGCTGCACCCCCACGACGCAGGGCCTCCACGAGGGCCCCACGCAGAGTGTCTGGAGGCCTCTGACACATGTTCACAACTGAAAAAGCCCTGAGCGCGGGCCCTGGGTTTGGGCTGTAGGCCTCGAGTTTGGAGGTGAGACCAGCGCTGTGGGCATCAGACTCAAATCTGACAAGGGACAGAGGCTGACGGCACGGGCTGCAGTGGGAAACAGGCCATGGACATGGCCTGCCGGCCAGGCACGCAGCTCCAGGCCCAACTCGGCCACTGGCAGGCTGGTGACGGGCCAGTGAGGGGACTGGGGGGTGGGCCGGCTCCAGCTCACCGTGTATCCGTGCGAAGCTCTTGGTGATGATGGCCCGGCCCCCAAGGTGGCGAGGCTCCAGCGCCGCGTGTTCCCGGCTCGAGCCCTCGCCGTAGTTCTCATCCCCAATGACTGCCCACCGGATGCCGTGTTTCTGCCAAGCAAGTGAGGCGTGAAGTCTGGAGGCTGGCCCCTGCCGAGCCCAGGCCTGGGGCTTCCTGAGGTCCCCAAGTCAAGGGTGGAGAGACCCCTCTTCCTGAGCTCCCCAAGGTGAACCAGGCCCAAACCAGTCCCCAGGGGACAGAGGTGATCAGAGAAGGGTTCTGCCTGTTTGTAGTGGGCACAGGAGGTGCCACCCACCCACATGCTCAGCTAGAGGCAGGAGGGCCCTAGGGCTAGGCTGGGCAGAACCCAGAGCACTGGGCATCCGGTCAGGGTAACAGGACATGGCTCCACTGCAGTGCCACGGCTGTGCCCGCCAGAGTGCCAGAGCTCCCCACACCTTGTAGTAGCGGGCAGTGTCGGGGACGGGCCCAAACTCCTGGGTGACGGCATTGCGCACGGAGTTGGCCTTGCCATTCTCAATGTTGATGGCGCCGATGAGCAGGTTGTTGGAGATGTTGTCTAGATGCCCGCGGAACTTGAGCCAGGGGCCGGCGGCTGAGATGTGGTCGGTGGTACACTTGCCTTTGACCTGGGGTAGTAAGCAGAGGTCAGAGGTCAGGCATGGTCCGCGAGTGGTGGGTGAAAGGAGAAGCAGAGGCAGGCCTGTGTTGTAGGCCCAGGCCAAGAAGACTCAGGGGTGTCGCCCATCCCTCCATGACCTCTGGAACAGGACTCAATGGGCAGAGGCTGCCAGGAGGACAGAGAACCCTGTGTACCCAGCCTTCAGGCCGAGGCACCCAGGTAAGAAAGGCCGGGGCGGGAAGACCAGCACGGACCTCATGCCCGGCAGAGAGAGGAGCCCAAGGACGAGGCTGGGTCTCGGCTGGGGCCGGAGAGTTTCACCTGTTATGTGGGCCTTGCGCCAGCTGTCCCGGCCCACGGACCCTCAGTCAACAGCACAGATTCACGTCTGATGTCGGTCTGAGGCCCCTGGCCACGCCATGAAGGCTTTGTCTGCTCAGTTCCCAAACACAGGCCATCCCCCCAGGGCCCAGCTGTGGGAACAGAGGAACCATCGCCTCTGGAGCCCGTCTGGTCAAGCGAGTGGTGCCTTCTCCTTGCCATGCCCCAGCACCATCTGAACCCACGGGGGCCGCCTCATCAGCTGGAGCACGCTGGGCCCTGCTTGCCAGGCTGCAGATGCCCTGGCTCCTCCAGGCCACACCTTCCTTCCTGTCCCCATCTTGATCCCGACACCACCTCTGGGGGTGCAAGGCAGAAGCCATGGTTTCACAGCTTCCTGCTGACCAGGGTCAGCCGGGGCTGGGCCGGCCTCAGCGCTGACCTTGATGAGGATCTGCAGGTCCTCCAGGTCTTTGCCGTCCCACTTGTCAAAAGGCTCCAGGAGCTGCAGGCGCTGGCTGGTGGGGCTGACATCCACCCGTTGGCCGCTGCTGTCCTTGGGGGGGTGCTGGTAGGTGTCCTGTCCAGGGTCGAACTCCTGCGAGCGAGGGGGGTACGAGCCCTCACTGCCCACGTGCACGGGATCTCACGGAAAGCCAGCGCCCCTGAGCCCCAAGCCTTTCCCTCCCAGCGAATATCATCGCTTCCTGTCCGTTAGCCCGTCCAGGGGCCGGGGGTAATGCTGCTAACGGACAGGGCCGCACAGCGACCCGCATCAGCTGCAGCCAACAGCAAAAGGTGGCAGTGCCCGCTCACCGCTCGGGGAAGTTCATCGGCATCGGGGGCCTCCAGCTTGAACTTCTTGCCATCCTTGCCCGTCAGGAAGTCGGTCTCTGGGTTGAACTTGAGGGTGCCGGCAATGGCCAGCGCTGTGACAATCTGAGATGGACGTGACAAGTCTCTCAGTTAGCACCAACCATCCCAGCAGAAGCCTCGACCAAGTGAGAGGGAGCCCAGGAAGCAGGTGTCGGGCACTGCAGGAGCCAGTGGACCACGCTGCACGGGAGAGGCCCGGGCACCGAAAACCTGGGCGGAGCCTCCCGTGCTGTTCAGCTAACACAGCGTGCCCGGGACATGCGCAGGGAAGGCCGACTGTGCCGACGGGCTGAGCCGAGGTGCCCGCTAAGTGCCTGGGTGACCATCCTAGCAGCACGGCGGCCTTCCCGGTCAGAGACTGCGGGGCTTTCCCACTTGCTCGGGTAACCCTAGTGGGGCCGGGGCTCAGGGCAGTGAGGGCCTGGCTGGGCAGAGGCCGGCTCGCATTCCTCTCGGTGGTTCGGGAGCTGCTACTCGCGCCAGTCATCACGCTGAATGTGACTCCTGGAACGTGAGGAGCCAGGCCGGGGCTCCAAGGGGTGACGCCTGGGACGGCATGGCCTGCAGCTCTTGGTTTCTGCTCCGACAACCCCTCGCCCTGCGATGCCAACCCTCCCCTGGCAGCCCCGGGGTCAGACGCCTTTGCCCCCAGCCCTCTTCCCCTCCCCTGCCGGGCCAGGCCCCCAGAGGCAGTCCTGGGCTCGGGCTCACCTCAGGGGAGGTGACGAAGGCGTGGGTCTCGGGGTTTGCGTCGTTGCGGCCCGTGAAGTTCCTGTTGTAGGAGGTGACGATTGTGTTCTTCTCCCCCTTCTTGATGTCCTTTCTGTCAGGCCAGAGGGAACAGGGTCAGGGATGTCTGGTCTTGTCACCTGGCCTGTCCTGAAGCCAGACCAGTGTCCTGAGATGAGTGCTTAGCTCATGACCAAGAAGGGGGGTCAGAGACCCTGAAAAAGTCACCTCCACCGGAGGACCCACACCCACGAAGCAGGAGGGAGCCTCGGGTCGCCACGGTTGCCAGAGGCTCCACGTAAGACAGCGCCCAAGGCCCATGTTCCCTGACCCGGTCTGCTGCTTCCTCTCAAGTGCCTCAGGCAGAGCCCTGGCTGCATCCACTAGGATGGGGCCTCGTTGGCTCCCTCCCGCCAGCCAGGCCTCAGCTAAGTGGCCACCCAGAGCTGCTGCGGCCGGGGGCTCTTCCTCTCCTTACTTACAGCCCACTCTCCAGTCTAGCTGGAAAGGCTCCTGCAGTCTCCTCTCTGCCCCGGTCTCTGCAGTCCGTACCCCAGGAAGCAGGCTGTCCTATCAAAGGGGCGCCTCTTACCTGTCCCACTGGCCAATGCAGGGGCCACAGGCGTTGGCCAGGACGACACCGCCCACATCCCTCAGAATCTGCGCCTGCAGTGGGAAGAGGGGGGCAGGGAATGGGCTGGGGGGCTAGTGGCTGATGGGAGGGAACAGGGGCAGCAGCCCGAGAGATGAAGAGCTGCACCGCAGGGGTATGAGCCAGCCCCACCCTAGGAAGGCTGGGCCCAACCCACCCTGCAGCCACATCACTTAGGGAGGGGGAGCTAGGCAGGGAAGGCAGGCACGTACGTAGCCATCCCGCTCGATGGTGGCCCGGATCTGCTCAGAGCCTGGCGTGATGGTGAACAGGGATTTACACTTGAGCCCACGGGCCAGTGCTTGCTTGGCCACAGCTGCTGAGCGCCCCATGTCCTCGTAGCTGGAGTTGGTGCAGCTGCCGATCAGACCTAGTGCATTGTGGGTGAGGGGCCAGGGGTCAGGAGGAGCCAGTGACAGAGGACACCTCCTGACCTCAGACTGCCCAGACTTGGTGGCAAATTCACCAAATGCGGGCCCGAGGCTTCTCTAACAGACAAGCAGGAAGCAACTTGACCCCGCCACAGGGAAGGCCCAGACATTTGCCGGGAGACGCGGCGGCCGCTGAGCAGGGCGCGGCTGCCTGTGCTGGGTGTAAGGCCGCTCTTACAATCACACAGGCAGAGGGAGGTGGGGCCCTGCGCCCAGGGTCTGCCAGACTGAAACCCAGGGCACCTGGCTCCAGGGTTCACCTGCACTGAGACCACGGCAGGTGCCATGTCTTCTATGCAAGGCATGTCAAGGGAAACCGGCGTGGAGCTGGCATGACAAGACGTTTGTACACAGACGTGTGTGCTCGTGATGCCCCACCTCTCACAAGCTCTTGGCGCCAGCTGAGAGGGGCTTCAAAACGCGTCAGTACTCTCTACAGCGAGCACATCTCTCTCATGCATTTCCACACGCCAGAGGCGCTGCGGCAAGCACAGGCGAGCCCCGGGACCAGCGGCCCTCAGGCCCGGCACCCCGGCCTGTGGACGTGCTCACCCACTCGGATGTCGAGAGGCCACCCTTCCTTCTCTGCCACCGCACCCACTTCCGCCACTGGGTGGGCCAGGTCGGGGGTGAAGGGCCCGTTTATGTGCGGCTTCAGCTGCGGAGACAAACACACGGGCGTAGAGAGCCGAGGGAACCAGCCTTGGAGCCTGAACAGTCTCTGCTCTTCAGCGCTGCTGGCTCCTGCGCACCAAGCCCCCCAAGCCCCTGCGAGCTCAACGACTGCTCTTTTGCCTCAAACCCCATCCCAGAATATGCACCAGCTCCCGGGACCCTTCAGCCCCGCAAGGCTCGTATCATCTGCACTCTGCAGGTGAGGGAGCCGGCGTGCTCTGCGCAAGGTCACGCAGCTTGGAGATGGCACAGGCACGGGAGGAGTCAAGGTTGCCGGCCTGCCAAGCCTGTTCTCCCCCATGCTATGGCACTTGTGGGATCTTATGACAAGACAGACTTAAGAGCCGATGCTGTACATGTGATGATACTTAACAGATGCACGGCTCTTAGCGCAGGCCCTGGCATACAAAGCACTCAACAAACGCCAGTAACTGAATATTTGAGCCGATTCCCATGACGGCCTTGGTTCCACACAATGAAGTGAGGCACCGGCCCAGGGTCCTGCAGCCTAAGTGGTAGAGCCAAGAGGTGAGCTCGTGTGACTGGCCCCTGGGCCTAACCCCTCGACCACTCTGCTGCTTCGCCTCCTCCAGCCTGCCTTTCCTCTGACCTTCCTGAGGCTCATTCTGGTCTGTCGGTCCTGGGATGCCAAACCCTGCTCGGGCCTGGACCCCTGGGCCTTGCCCCCTCAACTCTGACAAGAACGAAAGCTCCAGGTGAAACGTGGCTCCCGCTAAAGCGGAGGTGGGGCAAACGGACTCGAGTGCAGGAATCACCAGCCGCCACCACCCCACTCCCCTCCCGCCTCACTGCCCTTCCCCCACCCATGCAGGCAGGTTGCTCAGCATTTTGCAGGGTCACTCGGGAACCAAGGGCCACAAGCCCTGCTGGGTGTGTAGGCAGGGGCCCCCATTGGCCCGTAGTGCCCTCTAGAAGTGCCCAGATTGAGCCTGAGCTCCCCAGCCCCAGAAATTCCTTGGGCTCAATTCCCTTTCTCACCTCATTGAGGTTGATTTCAATCACTTGGTCATACTGGCAGCCAGGGTCCGGGACCAAGTGGTCCTTGAATTCATCAGCCAGAGCGGCAATGTCTGAAAGCAGCGAGGGAGACTTCGTGTGAAAATTGGTTGCGAGAGCTCAACCATCCACCTGTTTGAGCCACAGTCATCCGACACCTGCCGGAGCAGAGGGCACAGGACACAGTCCCCGCCTGCCACCCGGCGAAGGCGCAGGAGCTGCACCACAGAGGCAGCAGCGCGGTTCGGCCTGGGGAGGCCTCCTGGGGATAACTGCGTCTTGGAAGCGACTTGATAATGAAAGGGCAGGAAGGGGCGTCCAGGTGGGAAGCAAACTGACAAGCGCTATCAAAGCCTCAAAGCCCCCCGCCCCACTCTGGCTCTACCCATCACCCTCCCTCACCTCCCTTCAGGGGCCTCGGAGATGCCTCCTGCAGCCCCCTCCCCTCCTCTGAGCCTCACAGAAGCCAACTAGAGCCTCAAGGCAGTTGTCAAGGTAGGCTGGGAAAGTGGTTCTTGTTCCAAGCATTTTTCCTCCTCCCCTGCAGGGCAGGATTTTCAAAGGGAAGAGACCACGTCATTTCCAGAGCTTCTTGCAGGGGCGCCAGGGACCAGGCCGCGAGGAACAGTATTCACCCGCAACCTTTCAGGAGCAGCTAGCTGGGCTGGCACAGAGCAGGGGTTTCTCCAGCTCAGGCTCTTGGAGAAGCTGATGAGAGCAACGCACCCACCCAGAGACAGTAACCTCCAGGGCGGCAGGGCCTCCAAGTCAAGCTGCAGGCGAGGTCAAGGGCTCCTAAGGGGAAGGTGTGGCTGGGGACTGTGTGCCCCCATCCTGCTGCCCTACACAGCTCACCTGCCCGGCCCGTCTTGCTCAGGTACTTCTTCATCCTGTGGTTGTAAGGGAACACAGAGGTGGTGGCCCCGATTTCCGCGCCCATGTTGCAGATTGTCGCCATGCCTGCCGAGAAGGGAAGCGCCTGGCTGAGGAGCGGGATGTGGGTGCCACAGCCCTGCTCCATGGGCACACACCTCACTCCCGAGAGCTGGCGTCATTTCTTCCCTCGCCTACACAGCTGGCCGAGTGGCAGCAGGCAGACGCCCTGGGACCAGGACTAAAACCAGGGCCAACAAAGAAAGCAGATTCGGCTCCAACAAGCCGAGCTCCGGCGCTGGGCCCAGCTGGCCAGTGCCGCCTACTGGACATTGCCGTGTACTGAAGGCTGGCCTGGCCAGGCTGCCCAGTCACTACTGAGTCTATGTGGCAGGTGCGAGACTTGGCTCTCAAGGTCACCGCATAAAGGAAATGCAGGTGCTGGCACTGGGTCAAGGTCCCGGGTGCCAGGCCCACCCTCTCCGGAGAGATGCGGAATGTTTCTGGGTCTAGGGTTTGTGGTAAGATTGGGGTGATGCCCACCATCTGGACCATAGAGCCTCGCACATAACTGGGAAGCCTTTGGAGGCTGTGACTGCTCTCAGGACACCTGTCTCCTGGGGTTTCTGGGAGAGCCAAGCTGTCCCATGGTAGGAGGGGACCTGTGAGAGTGAGCCCCCAGCCTCGGAGTGGTACAAGGGTCAACGTAACAGCAGCTCTGGGGGCTGTGGCTGGCATCCATGCAAGTGTGGACTGGAAGACTCTCAAGCAGAGTCCAAGTCTCCCTGCATTTCTTTCTGAGGCCTCGAGGCCAGGTCACCTGGAGTGATGAGGACAAAGAGGCCGGCTCAGACCTGGTCTTGGGAGGGTATCAAGTGGTAACCACTCATCCAAGGGAAGTGAGGCGCACACCAGGGAAGATGGGGGAACAGGGCTGCTTTGTGAATGAAGCCCTGCTCTGATTCCCCACTCCCACCACCACTTCCATCCTCTGGGGTTCTTCTGAACCACCCAAGGCAAACCAATGCCATGGCAGGGCCCAGCAGCAGCAGTTAGCCTGGCCCCAACTGTGTGGCTGCAGGAAGTTGCCTGCCCTCCTTGAGGCGCCTCTGCCATTTAACAAAGGGTCTGGACTAGACAATTTCCCCTCATCCTCTAAGTATCCCAAATCCCCGAACTGACTGGACAGCTTCAAGGGGAAGGCATTCGCTGTTCACTGCTTGACAGCAGGCCCCCGCAGGCCCGGGGGGCAGTGAGGGTCCGCTGCGCCACCTTCCTCACCAGTGCAGGAGATGGAGTCCACGCCCGGCCCGTGGTACTCCACGATAGCACCCGTGCCGCCTTTCACCGTGAGGATGCCTGCCACCTTCAGGATCACGTCTTTGGGGGAGGTCCAACCGGAGAGCGAGCCTGTCAGCTTCACACCAATCACCTGAACAGGCAGCAGGGCAGCGATGAGGCCTCACGTGCCGTGGTCAAGAGGGGAGCCCAGGAGTCTGCCCGCTGGCTGGAATTCCCTATTTGCTTTTTCACCCCCACCGCCTCCCTCCCTGAGTCTCACTGATTCCCCCAGTTTTCTTGGGGCCCACAGTCTCCACTGATCCCACCAATGGCCCTCTGCAATCACCCTGGAATCAGCCCTTCCCAACCCCGCACCTTGGGGCACTTGAGCTCCCAGGGGATCCCAGCCATGACATCCACAGCATCAGCACCCCCGACGCCAATGCAGATGGCTCCCAGGCCACCGCCATTGGGAGTGTGGGAATCGGTGCCAATCAGAAGAACACCAGGGTAGGCGTAGTTTTCCAGGATGATCTGAAAAAGAATCCAAGACCTTCCGTTTAAAAGCCCTAAGCAGGGCCTCCCCGGTGGTGCAGCAGTTGAGCGCTGGGTTGCGAAGCTGCCCACAGCCTCTGCAGCGCCGGTTCGATCCCCGGCTGCTCTCCGGCCACCGGAGGAGGGTCCCACATGGCGCGCAGACCTCTCCTGCCGCCCGCTGCTCCCCTCAGCAGTGTACTTCGGTCCTTCTGCCTGCTCTGCTCCCTGCTCTGGCTCTGGTGGATTCTCTCACCCTCCCGTGCTTCTCACTGTACCCAGTGCTTGTATGAATGAATGAATGAATGAATGAATGAATGAATGAATATTTAAAAAAATAAATAAAAGCCCTAAGCAGAGAATGGAGATAGGGTGCAAGAGGGGTCTGTGAAGCTGCCCCCTGCAGATGCTGGGCCATGGGGCCAGCCCAGGCACCCCTCCAGGATGTGATGTCTCCAGTGTGGCCCAGAAAAGTCAGAGTGGGGAGGCAGGTGGGCAGAGCTCAGGGCAGCTCCACCATCCCTGAGGGCTGCAGGAAAAATGGCAGCCCCTTCTTGACCCCAGGCTGTGAGGAGAACCTGGTGAGCTGGATGCAACGATGTATCCAGTGACAGGCCCTGACGTGGTGGCGTTCCTGTGAGCAGCGAGGTGCCTGCTGGCATCTCACTGGGTAGACAAGTCTTTCACAAGCTGGCTCCAGACCCCCTGAAGAGGCGCTGGGGATGCAGTGGGAGCACCGGCCCGAGGATCAGCCTGGACTGAGAAGCGGCACGGGGACACCACCCAGCCTGGTTCTGAGAACCGAAGTGACTGGCTGAAGGAAAAGGATGACTTGCCTCGTCGCCTTCCCTGTTTCTCAGTGTTCCCTTCTCTGCACAGGCAGCGAGCACTTCCCAAAACATGCTGGAGGTGCTGGGCCAGCAGCCCTGGCGCCCACCACCCAAGCCCCTGAGGTGCCAACATGGACACCACAGGGAAAGCCCAGCCAGGGGTGGGCTCTGGCCCTACCACCCACTGGTAGTTGTGAGACCTTGGGCCAGTCTCTTCACCTCTAAAAGCTTTACTTCCCTCAGCTAGAAAAGTAGCCGGCAACTGCGCTCACTTCACAGACTGGGTGACTCAATGGGACCATGTGCGTTAAGCTGTAATAGTGCCGGGGGTGGGGGTGGGGGTGGGGGGAGCAATCTCACTATTTTTTTGCAGAAAGGGCCATCATCTGAGGCTGTTTGCCATGGGTCAGGTGGAATTATTCCCCCCAACACACAGGCCATGGGAAGGACACATGATCAGAGACAGGGAAGGCTCAGCACACCAGGCCCAGCACATGATGGGCAGGGCCCCTGGAATTTTACAGAACCCCAGGGCCTCTGCCCAGCTAGGCATCCTCCCAGCAGATGGCAAGGTATGAGGGGCCTTGCGCCCAGGAACACACAGAGTCAGAAGACCTGGCTGCTTCCCTAGAAGGACGGCATCCAGCTGGGAAGAACAGGTCCCCAGTAGAGGAAATCCCTGGCAGACGGACAGCTGTTGGCAGGACGCTGTTTAACTTCCATTTCTCCAGTCCTCCCTTGTCTCAGAGATTTAAAACTAGTTAATCTCTAAAGCCTGTAAAAGTCTGGTTCATAAGGACCCGACAGTAGTCAGTGTGGCCCGCCCGGCAGAGACCGAGTGTGGTCAGAAGGGAGGCGGGTGCAGACCCACGGACGGCAGGAAGATTTTCAACGAGGGCTGTTGACGACCCAGACCTTGGTGGTCAGCTAGACGCTAGCCGTGGCTGGGTGACTGGGCGGGGGGGGGAGTCTGAGGCTGGACTAACATCTAGAACATGAAACTGGAAACTCAGCTGTCCGTCCACCCAGAACACGTGTGCGCTAAGGACCTCCTGAGTGCTGACCTGGCCCCGCAGCTGGAAAGGAGAAAGGAGCTGCAGTCCTGTCCTCACAGTGCAAGCAGGCTGTGGGGGGGAGCGGAGCCCCTACTGGGTGGGTCACCCTGTGAAGGAGTGTACAAGGGTCTTACAAGGGAGCCTCCATAACGGGCCAGGGGAGCCCCAGGGGCTTCAGAGCTAAGCAGGAAGTGCAGATGTGGAGGAGGAAGGGTCTGCCTGGCCAGCTGGGGTCAGGACATGTGAGGCAGCGGGAGAGGGTAAGCGCTGGTTCTGACGTGTGGATCAAAGCTGCCCACGGCCTGGTGGGGAGCAGGAGAGGAAGCAGAGCTGCAGCGGGATCACACAGCCCCTGGGGATTTTCTTTGTAAAGGAACAAATACTCAGGCCGTGCACTTTGCCGGTGGCCAGTGCGGCGTCAGTGGCCAGTGATCACGCCCACATCTGGGTCCCGGAGCTGCAGAGAAGGCCGGGGCACTTGTGCTGAGGTGGAGCAGGGGCATTTGGGTGGGGGTGCCCTTCAGGAAAGGCCAAGGCCGGCTCCACCTGACACCCTAGCACCGCCACCGAGATAGGCGCCCTGGCCGCTGCAGAGCCACGTGACTGCCACTCCCAGGCAGCCCACCCCTGGCAAGGCTAACGGTGTGAAAGGGCAGGGCAGTGACCTGTGGGCTCTGGTTTCAGAGTGGGCCAGACTATGGCTAGACTCAGCTCCTCTTGAAGGAAGCCGGGGAAGTGAGGCCCCAGATGGAGGTAGTGGGAGGGTCACCTTGAAAAGGAGCAAAGAGGCAGGTCTCACATGTCCAGAATGGATGGCAGAGCCAAGACGGTGGTCCTTGGCAATCATCTTGGATGAAATCTTTGCACTGGGTCTCCCCAGAAACACATACGCACTTAGAGGACAAAATTGCCCAAGAGAAAAACCCACCCTCGGGAAGACCCCAGAACTCCTGGCTGATGGGGCCACCTGACTAGGATACCTCCATCTTACAGAATACCCCAAGAGTGCTCTGTGCGCTGAAGGGCAGCCTCTGGTGTGGGGGGCCCTAAAGCAGCCCAGTGGGCAGCGTGCCGGCTCTGGCCAGACAGTGCACACCAGTCCTGACAGCAGCGGCCAGCTGGGTGTTCCTGGCAAGTGGTTAAGTTCCTGTGCCTCAGTCTCCTCGTTGGCAAGGGTGGAAGCGAGCACTGTAAGTCAGAGCCGCAGGGCGCACAGCGCATGCTCAGCGATGCTTGCTCTCCAAGGACCCCGCGCGCAAAGAGCAAGAGGAGGACACCTGGCCAGAGTTGGGTGCCAGGGACCGAGGTGGCCAGAGGGGCTCCTCTGATCTCATCACGCGGCAGTATGTGCGGACATACCGAGAAGTCATTTAAAATGCAGGAGGAAGAGGAGCCTAAGGGCCGACAGATACCTCATCAAATTTCCCCTCCAGCCCCTGACTCCAGCCTTGAGCCGCCTGCTCCCACAGGCCTGGAGGGGCTAGTTCCCTAAGGGGAGCCTGCGTCCCCCCTCCCCTCCCCAAAGGTAGGGGGCGCCCTGCTTTACCTGGTGAATGATCCCAGAGCCAGGCCTCCAGAAGCCCACACCGTACTTGGCGCCAGCAGTTGCCAGGAAATTATACACTTCCTGATTTATGTCCTAGTGGGATAAATCGATGACAGCATCAGAACACAGCCGGTGCCTGGGACGGTCGCGCCCCTCCCCGCCCTGACTCTGAAACACGAAGACAGCTCCTCTCCTCGGGCCTTCTACAAACAATTCCAGGAGGGCTTGGATGTCGGCCCACGGCTCAGCTGGCAGGCCCGGGGAGCGAGTCCAGGGAGCAAAGGCAGAGCCTTGACTGTGCGCCTGGCCAGGGAGGGGTCTAGGACAGGTCCTTCCCTGCCCAGGTCTTTATAGAAGGACCTGGGTTACTTCTTCTCCCAGGGTCCTCCGGCCCTCAGTCCTCAGCCAAGGCCAGTAATGAGGGGCACACAGGGCAGTCTAACAGGGGGTGGGGGGTGTCAGTGGGAAGTAGGGGGATGGAGTGTGGCTCAGGTGGGGTGTTGTTTTCCACCTGGGCTTCATCTGCACTCCTGGCTGGCATTTATTGGATGCCCATGATGGAAACGGCATCATGCCAAACACCCTCACAGCCCATCCATGAGGGAGGGAGGTGTGGTCATCAAGCCCATTTCACAAATGCAAAAACAGAGGTTCGAGACCCCTGAGTTAAGGAAAGGCAGGGCTGAAACCAGGCATGTCCTCCAGAACCCAGGAGCAACCTGCTGGCATACAACAGCCCACTGCTTCAGTGGGAGGAGGGTGTGAGGCTGCCTGTGGCCTGGGACGCCACAGCTGCTCAGGATTTGGTACTGCGCTTGCTGGGTCTGGATGGAAGACTGTCAAATGCATGTGTTCTGGAACCTGGTTTCAACAAAGCAGCAGCTTGGGCTGTACCCCTTCTGCCGGCAGCTCGAAGGCAGCTGCGCAGGGGCAGGAGGGCTTCCAGGCCAGCTGGTGGGAGGCCAGAAGCTTCTCTGAAAAACGCGGCCTGTCCCTGGACAAATGAGAGGCCAGGAGTAAAAGGGATGGCATCAGGGTGCACAGCACAGAGTCCCAGAGGGAAGAGCCAGGAAGAGTCGGCTAGACTCAGCAGGGGAGAGCTGTGCCCCAAAGGGGAGCGCCCACTGTAGGTCCCCTGGGCCCTCCATACCCTACCACCCTTCATTTAAACTCTAGACCACAGGCATCCTTCTGAGGTCTTACTGGTTCCCCCCAGTAAAAGTAAAATGGCAAAAACTTGGGACCCAGAGTGGTCTCTTTCACATTACTAACATGGGCCTCCTGGTGGCACAGGAGAGAGACAACACTATCAGATTAATAACATACCCTGTTGATCATTTACGAATCAGTCACGAGTACTCGGCACTGAGGCAGGAGGCTGTGGCGGGTACTGGGTGCGTGTGCATGTGTCTGTGGGTGGAGCGCGAGGGGCACAGCAGCCCAGGGGTGCTGAGCAGTCTCGGCCTGCACTCAGCCCAGATGCCCCGCTGGCTGGTTGTGGGACCCTGGACACAGCATCCTGTCTCCTGCACCAACCTGAGGGACCCGACAAATAGCTATGAGTCTGACCCTCTCTCTCCACTGACACCCTCTGATGGCTGCAGGGATGGTGCCCACCTCACACCACCCTCTTCCACACACAGCTCCAGCCCCAAGCGCCTTTCAATTGCACAAAAGCATCATGCTTCTTTCTGCCTCAAGACTTAATCTATACACTGCTCCACCTAGAATGTTCTTCCTCCAGTTGACATCAACTTCAGTTTCCTTAGACCAGAGTTTAAGATCCATGAAGGCGGGGGTGGGGGTGGGGGGGGTGGAGCCTAGTTTTTCTGTTCACCCTGAATCCCAGCACCTCGCACAGTGCCTGGGACATAATTGTTAAATGAATGAGGGAATGAGCTCCGGCCCCCGAGTCTGTGAATCTCATCCCCGGAAGGTAGACGTGACTCTGGAAAGGAGGGAGGGTCAGCCCCTGGAGGCGGCAGCCTGGCTGCGGGCACTCATCCCTAAAGCTGAGAGGACCCGGTGGCCGGGCCCAGGGTGCTGCAGGCACCCCCACAGTGCAGTCACCCCACAGCCACTAACACGGAAATGGCAGGCCGGCAGGGCTCTGGGGGAAGAGCCTGTGCAGCAGGACACACTGCCAGGCCGGGGGATGGGAGTGTGGCCCTGCGGGTTCCCAGGGGTCTGAGTGAGGGCTGTGGTGACCCTGGGAGCCGAGCACTTTCAACTGCCAGCCCTGCTCTGTGCCCAGCCAGGCCCAATCCTGCCAGCATTCAGCTCCTGCCAATGTCCCCCAAGGAGGGGTGCCTGTTTCCACGGCAGTGGGTGGGAAGGGTGGAGGCCCTGAGCTGGGAGGCCCGCTGTGCCAAAAGGAGGCACACGGGTGCCACAGGCAGGCCCAGTGGAGGGAGCAGGGACTCAGCTTCTTAGGGAAGGGTGGAGAATTTAAGGAAAAAGCTGCTGGGTGTGGCACAGAGCCCGTCACCTCTAAGCACAACTCACAGGGGAAGAGAGCTCCTCCCCAGAAGGAGGCTGATGGCAGAGAGAGCACCGGAGTCGGGGGAGGCGCTCTCCAGGCCCCTGTGCAGTTGTGGGACTAGACTAGTGCCTGAGCAACCTCAAACTTACAAAGAGTGACACTATCTGCCTACCTCCCTAGCGGGGCGCAGGAGCAGGGTGTGTGCAGACGTGAGCAGGAAGAAGGCACACGGGTGCTGGCAGAAAGGGACTTTACATGACCCTCTCCCGCTGGCAACGTGCCAGACCCTGGGATCTGCATCACTACAATGTAACAGAAAAAAGGTCAGAAAAAATATACCTTTAGTGGGTAAGACCAGGGAGGGTTTTTACTTTACGCTTTTTCTGTTTTCTAGCGTCTTCACAATGGGCAAATGGCATTTCAGAATTAGAAAAGAGTGAAGACAACTTTTAAATAAAGATGAAGCGAAGAGCCTGTGAGGCCCCGGAGGGAGGTCCTCGTGTGAAGACTTTGCTCCTTCCGAGCCCAGGCTCACCCCGCCAGCGCAGGCCTTCTCGCCCCCAACTGCCTCAGGCGGCCCAGCTCACCTTGGCCCGACGCAGGTCTTTATCGCCCCCGACCTGGGCCTCGATCAGATGGTCACAGTGGATGGTGGATGGCACGGCCACCTTGGGCAGCCCGCTGCTGATGAACTGCAGCATGGCCATCTGGGCCGTGGCGTCCTGCATGGCCACGCGGTCAGGCCGCAAGCGCAGGTAGGTCTTGCCCCGCTCGATCTCCTGGTTGGCTGGGTCATCCAAGTGTCCGTACACGATCTTCTCCGAGAGGGTCAGCGGCCGGTTCAAGCTGGGGGAGGGGAGTCGAGGGTACTGGCTGAACCACCCCCGGCCCTCTCAGAGCATATAGTGGGGTGGGGACCCTGCGCTCCAAGGGGGTAGGTACCCCCAGACCAGCACCCAGTAAGCAATAACAACAAACAAGAGGGGGCAGGGGCATTCCTGGGACATCTGCTTTTCCGGCTGTTATGTGACGAGCCCCTGCAGGACGCCTCATCACCTAGCCCTCGTCATCACCGTGTCACTCAATAAGCCACCAAGAGGGGATAGAGGCTCAGCAGTGGAGCTACGCAGAAGTTCAAAGCGGAGCCTCACTGTGGCTGCCTTCCCTGTGCCGCTAGACACGGGGTCTGCATAGGATCCCCACACCTGATCTGCACCCTACTATGCTAAAGCCTTGCCCATCAGTGTCATCTCACTAAGACAGGCGTAGCGGTCAGCTCTCAAGAACAGAAACCTCCAACCCCCTTTCAGGTGCCATCTCCAGGTAGGTCCCACCCTTCCCTGCTGTCAGGCCCAAATGGGGGCCCAAGCCTGGCCTGGAAGCAGCACAGGCCGTCAGGACTCACCAGCCTCTTCCTCACCAGTTCCCCACACAGTATGAGCTCTGAGCAGGTCAACTCCTCACCACCTTGAGGCTCTCTGATGGCCCCCTGCGGCTGCCCACGCCACCCAGGTGTCCAAACAGCAGCTGGGGCTGGACCTCACACCACTCACAAAGTATAGGCCAAACCTGTGGCTTCTGGGGGCCTCCCTGGTGGTGCAAGGGTTAAAGTCTCAGCACTATGAAGCTATCAGCAGCCACTGGAGCCTGAGTTCGATCCCCAGCCAGGGAGCTACCCACAGGGCGCAGCAGACCTCTCTTGTCTCCTCGCTGCTCTCCTCAGCAGTGTATTTCAGTCAATCCGCCTGTTCTGTTCCCCACTCTGTCTCTGGCGAATTCTCTCATCCTCCACACCTCTGGCCTACACCTTAGTTCTGGTGTGCATCAATAAATGAAAATAAACCTTTAAAAAAAAATCTTTAAAAAATCTTTAAAAAAAACTTAAAAAAAGAGCCCTGTGGCTCTTTGGGAAGGAGCAGAGTTCCGCTCACACCCAACAAGCTAAGAAAAAAGCATCAGACTAGGGGTCAGAGGTTCTGGGTTTGCATCTGACCCTACTGTTAAGCCCATGGAGTAAGCAGATAAGCAGCTACCTGCTCAGGGAGCCAGGCCCTCTGCAAAGTCCAGGGCCTGGACAGGAACGAGAACAGCTAGTATTTATCTAGCACTTACTCATATTTTAAATAACTTTATTGGGTGTAACGGGCATGTAATAAACTGTTCAGATTTACACAACTTTATAAGACTTGACATGTACACAGCAACTAAACCACCAGCACAGTAAAGCAAACATCCATCACCCCCAAAAGTCCCCCATGTCCCTCTGGGTCTCCCCATCCCCAAGCAGCCCTGACCTGCTGTCTGTCACCGCCAGGCCACTTTACTCACAACACTGACTCGGAGCTGGGTGCTGCCTAAGCCCTGTGCTGTCTTGTCTCGCTCTACCTTCCCCACACAGATGAGGAAGGGGCACAGTGAGGTGAGCAGGGAGAGGAAGTCACCTGCCTCTGGTCACAAGCTATGGCACAGAGCGGCAGGGGCCAAGCAGGGCAGCTCCGGGTCCCTGTTCTACTGCTTCAGGCCCCCTGGGAACTCAGAGCAGGGCTCAGCCCCAGGGACACGCTCCGCGCAGGTCATCATGGTTCTTTCTATCTACTCACCAGTACCACCATGGCCTCTTTGTCTGGGCCTGCCTTCTAGCCCCACACTCCCCAGTTTACCTCAGCCCTTGAGAGCAAGAGTACCCTAAGGTGCCGGCTCCATGAGCCACAGCAGATCAAGGTCAATCTGGACATCTCTACAGCTCTGCTGTCATGAGAACCTGAAGTAAAAGTCCTGGCCGAAGGCACAGCCTGGCCCTCTCGTGGCTGGAAGCTAGCGGACAGGCAGTGACTCACTGCAGGGAGCACGGCCCTTCTTTCTGGGCCCCTAGGGAGATGAAAAATAGCATGAAGGCTTGAAAACCAAAGGCCTTGACAGCAGATGCCTGAGTTGTGTTTAAAAGCCTGACACTGGGGCCTCCCCGGTGGCGCAGCGGTTGAGCGCTGGGTTGCGAAGGTGCCCGCAGCCTCTGCAGTGCCGGTTCGATCCCCGGCTGCTCCCCGGCCACCGGAGGAGGGTCCCACATGGCGCACAGACCTCTCCTGCCGCCCGCTGCTCCCCTCAGCAGTGTAGTTCGTCAGTCTGCCTGTTCTGTTCCCCGCTCTGGTGAATTCTCTCACCCTCCCGCGCTTCTGACTGTACCCAGTGCTTGTATAAATAAATAAATCTTTAAAAAAAAAAATAAAATTTAAATGCTTGATTCCTTTAAAAAAAAAAAAAAGCCTGACAATGACCAAAGTCCAAGTTCATCATCACAAGTTCATCATCACATCTCCTGAGGAGAGCACAGAAACGGGTCCTCTACATCCGTCTGTCCTTCTGCTCCACTGGTTGAAGGATCCAGTTCCCCCTGCCCTGTGAGAACCTCTCCTCTGGCAAAATAAAAATAGGCACATGCCTTGTCTGGACTGGTGGTTTTTTTTTTTTTTTTTTAAAGATTTAGTTTATTTATGCATACAAGAGCTGGGGTACAGGCCAGAGGTGTGGGGGGTGAGAGGATTCACCAGAGACAGAGCGGGGAACAGAACAGACAGAGTGACGAAATACACTGCTGAGGGGAGCAGCGGGCGAGTCAGGAGAGGTCTGCTGTGCCATGTGGGTAGCTTCCTGGCCAGCTGGGGATCGAACTCGTGCTGCAGTGGCTGTCAATTGCTTGATAGCGCTGCCCTTAACCCCGCGTCATCAGGGAGGCCCTTGATGTGTTTTAAAAAATGCTGAAGCTGGGCCTCCCCGGTGGCGGCGCAACGGTTGAGCGCTGGGTTGCGAAGCTGCCTGCGGCCTCTGCGGCGCCGGTTCGATCCCCGGCTGCTCCCCGGCCACCGGAGGGGGGTCCCACATGGCGCGCAGACCTCTCCTGCCGCCCGCTGCTCCCCTCAGCAGTGTACTTCAGTCCTTCTGCCTGCTCTGTTCCCCGCTCTGGCTCTGGTGAATTCTCTCACCCTCCCGTGCTTCTGACTGTACCCAGTGCATGTATAAACAAAAACAAACAAACAAATAAATAAATAAATAAATAAATAAAACATGCCTCTATAAAAAAAAATAAATAAATAAAATAAAAATGCTGAAGCTACTAGACTTTTCTGGTAGTGCTGGTTGGGATAAACAGGCAAAGGACATTTTTCTGGTTCTGGCTAATTTTACTGAAAAAATTAGTATTAAAAAAATAAAAACCGGGCCTCCCTGGTGGCACAGGCAGTTGAGTGCTGCACTGTGAAGCTGTCCGCAGCCTCTGCAGCGCAGGTTTGATCCCAGCCGGCTGGCGAGGGTCCCACATGGCACGGCAGACCGCTCTTGTCTCGCCCACTGCTCCCCTCAGAGTGTATTTCGTCAGTCTGCCTGTTCTGTTCCCCACTCTGTCTCTGGTGAATCCTCTCACCTCCCACGCATCTGGCCTGTACCCCAGTTCTTGTATAAATAAATCTTTAAACAAACAAAAAAATAAAATAAAAACCACCCAGGGACCTAAAGGGCAGTTTTTCGGTAATTCTTTTAAAGACCGAAGAGTGAGCGCTACTCTGTGAGGCCATCTCAACACAGACTTCTACGACAGCGCTCCTGCCCCACAGGACAAGAAGCGAGGTGGATGTTCTTTGCAAATTAAAGGAAAATCCACCACTCCCCCCGAGCTATGGTCTGAGAGTGCCAAGAATGGAAAAGTGTTTCCTGGGAAAAGCTACTTGTACCAGGTCCCACATCGCGGGGACGGCGGCTCTCACCAGGACCATGCGGCAGAGGAGTAAGAACTGGCCAGCGCGCCCCACACTGGGCAGGCATCCCGGCCACCCAGGAGCACTGCACTGCAGACTCCAACTCCAGGGGTCTGGGTGGGCGGGTCAGACCTTCCAACAAGTTCCCAGTTGAGGCTAATGCTGCTACATGAGCCCTGTTTGGACTCCAAAGGCTGGAATAAATATTGCCGGGAGCAGAGCCAACGTGCTAGCGGTTTCAAGCCTATGTGATTCTACTGTGGGCCCAGAAGAACCCCAGCAGACAGAACACACACTGGGAGTAACTGGGGGAAAGACCTGGACTTGAATTTGGGTCCAGTCACACAATGGAGTATGACCTCTGATAACTTCCCCCAAATGACACTCAAATTTCCTTACTGGGAAAATGGGGGGAGGCGGCTACTGTTGGTGTGACAGCGACCCAAAGGGGTGGCTGGGAACAGAAATGTCAAGTGTCTACACTGAACAGGTCACTCAGGGAGCTACTCCTATTAGGGCCCTCCCTGACACATGGTTCCCGGTGCTTACTGGACCAGGTGACGTCAGGCTGGAGGCTGCTGGAGATAAAGACGGAGACCGTCCCTACCCAGGAAACTGAAACGAGGATCAGGTAAAGAGGAAGCAGAGGGAGTGTGGGACAGCGGCCGGAGCACAGGTCAGGGCAGAGACGAGGCCCCACTGCCTGCGCGCGGGCTGTAACTGGTACTCACGTTTCTGCATTCCTCCTAGGTGGGCAAGCCCACAGGCCTGCCTGCAGTCGTCCCAGTTCAAGAGGCAGTCCTGGCTGGTGTGTACAGCCAGCCCCCACTCCTCACCTCTCTGTGGTAGCTCAGTCATCATCCGGTGCCAGGATCTAGCCAGGACCTGACACAGGACAGCAGTTCAAAGATGGCTGCCATCTTGCCAAATGAGGAAGGACAGAAAAACACATCAGAAAAAGATGTGTTTAAGATCCCTGTGACCGTTCTTTGGGTCTCAAACCTGAGCTCTCTCTGCGCCTGTGCACTAAGAGGAAAACCAGCTACTTCTTCAGCCACTGGGGCTGGCGGATCCCTCGGGTCAGTTGTCTGTCCTGAAAGGGTGGCTGGGAGGCTCAGTCCCTGACACCAGAGTGTCCGAGAGCCTCCTCTGGCCTGCATCTCCAGGCTTATCGGTAATGGATGTCTCCATGGTGGGCAGGTGGCAGGCCCACCACCCACATGGAACGTTTCTCCTCCGTTGGGACCTTTGGACCCCAACACCTTGGTCAGCCACCACCATCAACCATCCTTGGCGAAGTACCGCTGACACTGCCCTTTGGCAGTCACCACCGCTCCCCCACGAGGCCCCCTTACCGTTTGCGGACGATGTTAATATTCTTCTCCAGAAGGTCGTAGCGGATGAACTCATTGGGCTCGAAGTGGCTCATGGCCACCTTGGCCCGTTGGCACAGGACTGAGGCCGCATGGTACTGCCGCACGCCCAGGGCTTTCTGCAAGGGGACAGAGAACAGGCTGTCAGTGGAGCACGGGGTGGCCTGCCCCGAGGGACAGCAGCCTGGCTGAGAGAGCCGGGAATTAAAGCACCAGCAGCCCCATTAGAGGCCTGGGAATGATTCAGCAGCCAGAGGGCACAGCCTGTGGCGGGAGAAAAGGCAAGAGACCTGTAGTTGGAGTTACTCAAAGTCAAGTTCTACCAAGCCAAGAAAACCCCATCGGAGGGCCACCAGGGAGGCCGGGGGAGTGGGGGCTAACCGGCACCACCCAAGTGGGAGCTGCTCCTCCCGCCCCGGGAGCCTCGAGGACCAGGGTCAGGCCTGCTTACTGTTTTGATCTCTGCCTCTGGACCAGGCACATATTAGCGATTCAATAAATAATTACTGAGTAGACAGAAGAATGAGGAAAACCCCACATGTGAGCTCTGGATGTTTCCTCATCCCTCAAAAGGTGGCGCCTAATTCCCGTCCCCTGAACGCGCGCGGCGGACTTGCTGACTGACCTCTCGGGAAGAAGGCGGCACAGCAATGTCGCATGACTTGAGACTGCGAGGCCACACGAAGAAAGACAATTAAACAGTCCTGGGAGAGAACCAGCCAAAGAGGAACTCTTGCCATTACCCAGCACCACCTCGCCAGGCGTGAGAGTGCCATCTTGCAAGCAAGTGCTCTGGCCCCTGCCCGCATAGGGCTGCGGCTTCACGAGCAACCTCGAGCCCAAACCACCCAGCCAAGGTGCCCCCAAATGCCTGGCCCCTCAGAAACTAAGAGTGAGAAATGTTGATGTCGTTTTAAGCCTAAGGCAGGGGCAACCTGCTGCGCGGTGACGGGGAAATAACTGCTGCTACGCGTGTTAGTTCATTTTAAACGGCAGGTGACAACCTTCCCAGGGTACGTCGGAACCAGGGAAAACAAATGACCCCAAGAAACGACAGTGGGAAAGGCACAGCTGCTTCCCCTCTGGGGGTGCGCCCTTTCTGGAGGTCAGCTCCCGGGGTAAGGGAAGTCACTGCCAAGCTCGGCACCCAATCCAGGTCACCCAGGAGTGAGAGCAGACCCTGTAAGGAGACAGGACTCCCAGCCACCGTCCACCCACCCACACCGCAGGAGTGACTCCCCCAGCCACTTGCCCTCCAGCTCAAGGTCCACCCAGGGAGCCACACTGCCCGCCTCACTGGAGGAGTGAAGAACCCCCAGAGCCCAATGCCACGCACAGGACTGAACAGCACCCGGGCACTGACAGAACGGGCAGCTATGACCATGCTGCCACCGTGGGGCCCAGCGCATGGAGGCGAGTGGGCGGGCCTGGCCTTAAGTCTGAGTCACATTCGCTTTCTGAGTCATCTGAGACCGGCAGCCCCGTGAAAGCAAGCACCTCCTCAGAGCTAGGGGAGGATGGGGAGCGGTTACACCAAGTGCTTGCTGCAGTTTCTATTAATACCCCAGGGCACCTTGCAGCACAGCGCTCCCCCTCTGTGTTTTCCACACGGATGAGACGCTACACAAGCTGTTCTGCAACTTGCTCCTTCCCTTCAACAACACATCTCAGACATATTTCTCACATCTGTACACAGACCTCTGCCTTTCCGGAACAGCTATGCCTCGCTTCCAACCCAGCAGGCAGAACAATCCACTGTGATCCTCATTACAGAGAAAAGGTAAAACACCAAATTCCCAGCAGCAGGGGACTATTAAGTCATCTGCGAACACCCATCAATGCCTAAAAATAGATTTAAGAAAAAATACTAGTTGGGGGAGAGAGGGCAAAATACCGTGTTCACACAGAATACAACTTCTGAGACGGGCCTCCCTGGTGGCGCAGCGGTTGAGCGCTGGGTTGCGAAGCTGCCCGCAGCCTCTGCAGTGCCGGTTCGATCCCCGGCTGCTCCCGGCCACCGGAGGAGGGTCCCACATGGCGCGCAGACCTCTCCTGCCGCCCGCTGCTCCCCTCAGCAGTGTACTTCGGTCCTTCTGCCTGCTCTGCTCCCTGCTCTGGCTCTGGTGAATTCTCTCACCCTCCTGCGCTTCTGACTGTACCCAGTGCTTAAATAAATAAACAAATGAATGAATCTTAAAAAAAAAAAAAAAAAAGAATATGCTCTTTATTAAAAAAAAAAAAATGAATACAACTTCTGAGGAAAAAAGAAAACGTGTGAGTATGAGCCAAGCTGCCCGCACCCCCATCATGTAAACCTCACACCCCTCTGAAGTGGCCTCTGCCCTTAGCCCATTTTCCATGTGAGGAAACTGAAGCTTGCAGAGAGCGACTAGGGTCACCCAGCAGCCAGGAGCGCCTGAGTGCAGCCTGACCGGCCCACTCACCTGTGCTGCCTTGTCCAATGGCCACCCCCAACTGGAGAGAAGCTCTGGTATCAGTGACAAGTGAAGCCATCTCCATGCTCAACCCTTAGTCACGATGCTGTTTTCCAACAGATGTGGAAACACCTATCCCTAGCAGGCAGCACAGTCTGAGAGGACTGCCTGCCCCACATGCACACTGTCCAGTCAGAACATTCTCCTTCAAGTTTAGCCAACCTGCTCCGCTGCAGTCTCCCTTCTGAGGGCCTGCGCCCTCTGAGCAGGTGACACAACCCTGTCTCTCTCCCCGAGGACAGGGAGCACCTCCTGGGTCTGCCAGACATGTAACCCGAGCCCTACAGGTGGACAACTCGGCCTTGGGGTGGGGTCTCTCAGCTCTTCGGGGACAGCTATGCTCTCCATACGTCTTCTCTCAGCCAAGGGCAGCCCTGTGCTTCTTCCAACCATCCCTTTCCATGGCTCAATTCCAAATCCTGCAACAGCCTGACCATGCCCTGCGCTGCTGAGTGCAAAGGGCTGCCAATTCTGTTGTAGGCCATCACCAGTCTTCCGATTGCCCACTTCCCTCCCTGACATCCTCACAACTCACTGGCATCTTCCTCACTGGCTGAGCTTTCGCCTCACTCTACTGCGGACTGGGTTTTCCGGGCAGAGCACCGCCTCAAGCTCGGTTTACTTTCATCATCAGTGACTGTGCACCTCCAGCCCTCTGGCCTCTGGGAATCCGGGTCAGCCACCCCATGTCCTACAGGCTGGCCCTCCCCCTGTGTCAGTCACATATGCACTAAGCACAGGTCGCAGGTCACTCATCCAAATCTCAACTCAAATGTACCCAGCGTGGCGCCCTTGGGCAGACATCCGGTGAAGCCAGCTGTGATCTATTTGGCAACACAACTGAGTTAACTGCCGAGGCCTTCAGTTTCTACAGCTGTAGGACTTCCCAGGATAACAATAACAAAAAAAAAAAAAAACAGCCATTATTTACTGAGCCTTTATTCCAGGTGTGACAATGACGGTAATGTCCAACAGATGTAGAAATCCTACAGATGTGGAACTGAAGACCTTGGAGGCGAGTCACACGTTATACAGCGTGTGAGCTCAGGTCTGACCTTCCTGAGTCCCCTGGACTCTGCTACCCTCTTATCTCCCACAGCCCCCACCTCGCTCCCCATTTGTTTTTTTTTTTTTTTTTCCCCTAAAGATTTATTTATTTATTTATTTATACAAGCACTGGGTATAGTCAGAAGCGCGGGAGGGTGAGAGAATTCACCAGAGCCAGAGCGGGGAGCAGAGCAGGCAGAAGGACCGAAGGACACTGCTGAGGGGAGCAGCGGGCGGCAGGAGAGGTCTGCGCGCCATGCGGGACCCTCCTCCGGTGGCCGGGGAGCAGCCGGGGATCGAACCGGTGCTGCAAAGGCTGCGGGCAGCCTCGCAACCCAGTGCTCAACCACTGCGCCACAGGGGAGGCCCTCGCTACCCATTTGAAGACAGCCCTGTGTGATGGCTCAGATTGAAGAGCGGCAGTTTGGCCTGCACCGCATCCCACCACTAACTGCCATGGCCCTGGTCAAATTACTTAGCAGGCAGATGAACGTCACAGTGTGCGTGTCCAGTGGACAAGGAGCCCGCTCGTGCACAGTGCTCCATGTGTAACTGTTTTCCTATGTGGGGCGCTCGGCCGGGGGGGGCTGTGAGGGGTGGGGGTGGGGGCTCCTCTCTGGACCCAGCGCAGGCAGCACGCCCTTCTTGTTTTGTAAGCACAGGTCTGAAAGCCCTTTTGGTGGGTCAGTGTCTCAGAAGCCTAAGCTCATCGGAGCCTTTGGCAGGCCTGACCCCTTCAGATGTTTTCCAGGCGCCTCTGTGCTTCTCCGAGGCTACTTGCCTTCCTTCAGCTTTGGCCAAGTCATTCTGAAACTCTAAGGTGATGTCTTTGGGAGCACCTCCTTCTCTCTTCAGCTTACTTGCAGCTTTTCAGAATTTGCCTTAGAAAGCCTGTCCTCCTCCTGCAATCTCTTCTACTTATGGGGGCCCAGCGGTGGAACCTCATCTGTGTGATCTCTGAGCAATTCAGCATTTGCCTTCTTCATGAGCACCCAACATGTTGAACTTTCTTGGTCAGTACAAATGCTAAGGGATCTGCCACATGCTGTTTCTGTTGCTCAGAATGTTCTCTGCCTATCCCATTCCCAATATGGCCCTTTCAGTAATTCCTTCAAGTTCATTCATTCGTCAAGTTCCAGATTAATTTCACTTCCTCAGGGAATCCTTTTTAAACTCCCAGATCAATCAGTGTCCTTTTAGATATGCCCATTTACTACTTATTGACATTTATTTATGAGATGATATCTTCCACTAGTTTGTAAGCTCCACTAAGAGAGGGACAGTGTTTACACATAACTAAACCCCCCCATGCCTGATACACAGGAGGTGCTGCAAAATTAATTAAACCAATGAATGTGGCTTCTACTTCATCAACCAGCTCCTTCCTTAATGAACAGGGTTAAATACACAGCAGGTTTGGTTAGCATTGTGAGAGCATTTAACAAGACAAATCAAAAATCTACCAGCCTCAGGTGCTTTGGCTAGAGTGTAAACAGGTCCAAAATTTCTGAAAGACAATTAGGCAACACCTATTAAAATGCAAAATGTCTGTACCTTTTGACCAGCTTCCCCGCTCC